ATATATATATCATATATATATCATATATATATCATATATATATATATATATATATATATATATATCATATATAACATATATATATATATATATATATATAACATATATATATATATATAACATAACTAAATCTTTATATCATAGTGTTAAAAGGTATAGTAACAATTACGATTTAGTAATATTTGGTGTCGTTATATTATAGATTTCTCGCCCTTGAAGAAAGCTGAGGAAATGTTAAAGAAACAAAAGGTAAACTTACATAATGACAAACGAGATAGCGCGTTTATTACACTCTAAAAACACTCTGGTTAAATTCAACCAGGAATTGGGTTAATAATCCACCCAACACATTCTGGTTAAATTTAACCCATTTCCTGGTTAAAAATTATCAATTCAACAAAAATTTGGTAGGCTACACTTTTTTGGACTTTTAACCAGGAAAATTTTTTTAACCAGACTTGTGTAGGTGGATTTTTAACCCCGTACTGGTTGAATTAACCCAAATTTAACCAGAGTGTTTTTAGAGTGTACCGGCGTGTAAAATACCAAATTGTGTTTTGAAACACGAGGCGCTAGCCGAGATTTTTCCATACAGTTTGTGGTGTTTATACGCCGGTAATAAACAGCTTTCAACTTTGCCACATTACGTTTTGAACGGACTTCTATTTAAAGAGAAATTCAAGACGATGGTTGAGTTCATTATTACCGTGATATCAAGACAACGATACGAAAACAGCAAAGTTTTTAACGTTTTTACCAGAATTAGAGCTTTTATAGCCTAATTCGAAAACATATGTTAACATATTGGGCATGTTTGTATTCAATACAATTTATCTCCAACAGCAGTGAAAAATAATATAAGCACGGTCTAAGACTAACGCCTGTATTCTAAATGCTCACACTCAAAGAGTGGAGGTTCACTCTGAGCTTCCCTTGAGTGTCAGTTTCGAATAGCTGGAGGGTTAGTGCCATACCTTACTATGTCACTACTCACCCTCCAGCTATTCAAAAACAGCACTGACACACAAGGGGGAGCTCAGATTGAACTCCACTCTTTGAGTGTGAGCGTGAATGAGCTTTTAGAATGCAGGCATAAGTGCAAAAATCTGTAATCAATATCAACCAATCACCTTGAGAAGATTTCAGGGGGAAGTTACAATCGCAACCACAAAGATAGCGCTGACGGCAACTACCGACGACTCAAGTTTGTATCAAAATTTGCATTGGCACGCCAAATGTATTCACGCTCACAGTATTATGAATGTTTTGTATTCATAATAATTTTCTTTTTTGTTTTTCCATTCTAGATCAATGAAGCCAGATCATTAGCTTCGCGGTTCATGTTAGCAAACCCTTTCTGCATCGGAGTTATCCCCTATGAAAATGTTGGTAAAGACACCTTAACTATGTGTGTTTACGTGGATAGTGATGGCAACGGAATTCCACAGGATATTCAAGATGCCGCGAAAGAAATGTTTGCCGATTATGTTATCGACTGGATAGATCTTCAACAACGCCCTCCGTGTAAGATCGTTTCCGAACTTCCGTCGTCTAAAAAACAGAATGGGAAAGAACTATCAGATCTGTCTAGGACAATCGAGAAAAACCTCCACGTCTTTGACAAGCGGTTAAATGTCACAGCAGTTTGTGCTTCCTATAAAGTAACTGACTTCAAAGAGGAGGATACTCTATGTGTGACAGTGTTTGTGATGGAAAAAGGAAGAGTTCCCGCGGGGGAAACCGACATTGAGCTGGAAGAAAAACTAAATCATTATCAATTTGACGTTGTCGAGGGGTATTATAAATCGACACGTAAACTTTCCTCCTCTGACATGATGGCTCATGCCGATCCTTTGCGTGGTGGCGTTGGAATAGGTGTGAAAGGGTTACCTGGTGCTGGCACTTTGGGAGGATTTTTAGAAGACGAAGAAGGAAATTGTTATATTCTTTCTAACCAGCATGTGCTTCATCCATGTGAAGTAAAAAATAACCCACCTAATGACACCAGCGATGCCAAAGTGAAAGATTGCACTAACGATGTGGTACGTGGCGCCGGCATTTCAGGAGAATTGTCGGAAGACGTAGAAGGAAACAGTTTTAATCGTTCGAATCAACATGTTTTTCATCTACCTGAAGTAGGAAATAACACAAACGTTGTCGAACTGGACAATAGCACCAATAAATTTAATATTATCGAACAGCCTTCTCAATCAGATTATGAGAAAATGTTTCAGGATGCCAAAGATACTTTAGATAAGCATGTGGACAAAAAATCAAATTTTGAGAATCCGAATCCTGAAAGAGGGCCAAGACAAGAAAGGAATCCCAAATATTTGAATCGCATGAGGGAGACGTACGACGAAAATATAAAGCAAGCACAAATTGAGTTAAGAAAAATTGAGAAAGGCAAACCAAGGGAAATTGGAAAATATGTTTATGGTTTGCAAGGTAATGTGAAATTGGACGATCTTGAAATTTATGTCGACGCAGCCATTGCCGAGCTGAACGAGTGCGAGTTACAGTGTATGAAGTACGATAAGGGTTTAGAAAGTAACACAAATTGTCCAGTATATGGGTTTGAAAATATCGAAGATTTTAGTCCCAATGGTGAAACGATTGATTTGGAAAACTTCCATCGAGAATTGCGTATGAAAGAGTCAGAACGGTTTTTTGTGAAGATTGGTCGAGGAACCGGGTTTACTGACGACGGTTTTATTGACACCTCGATGAAAGAATTGTTTGTAAAGATGCCTGCTGCTCCCGAAAATAAGATTCCTGCTCCCGAAAATAAGATTCCTGCTCCTGAGGCAGGCGCTACTGCATCGTTTGACATCCCGTTGCCTTTCTGTGAGAATTGTATACAGTCATTTGTAAGTGAAAAAGAAAAAATCGACCAGAAGGAATATTTTGAATTGAGTAAAAATTGCATGAAATGTGACAAAAGAATTGGCAAAAAAGATGGCGAAAAAAAGAACGATGATGTCGAAGATCATGTCCGGTTTTTCTGGGCGCGTAATTGCGTTGTTATCCGAAAGCAAAAAGAATCTTTTTGTAAACCAGGAGATTCGGGCGCCTTAGTGTTTGGCAAGGATAATCGGGCTTGGGGCTTGTTGTTTGGTACATATGATGTTGGAATAAAGAACTCCGATTACTGCTTAGCGTCACCACTTAGTGCAGTTTTGAAAGCTCTGGAACAGAAAACTGGAAAAAAGGGACTTAAACTTTGGTGAGTATCACCAGGGCTATCACATTCACAGTTACCACATGGTATTCTCTTTTGCCAAGTAAAATATACGTTTATACGTATTATTACCGCATGAGTCAGCAGTCATGTTGTATTGTTTATTTTATCTAACACATACGCGAATGCTGTAAATACCTTGTGATTCGTCTTAATGAAAATGTTCATATTCTTCATACCCCGTTTACACCAAAGAAAAAGATTTTAGATTCATCACGAAAACGAAATCTATTATAGTGCCCGACTCATGTTGCCGTTTATACAGGCAACGACGAATTTGATAGGAAAATCATCTCGGTTTTGAGCCGCATCTGAAAACTTTCAGTCTGGATATGAATGTACAATCTTTCCCGGCGGCTATATAAGTATTGTCTTCGAGTGTTTATACTTACTTTAGCGTTTTTGAGCATTTGTTATATTCATTGACAAAGAATCTTCACTTGTTTGTTCTTCATCCAGTATAAACGCTCGTATCTGAAAACCTGTCTTCATACTGTCGTAGTGTAAACGGTTTACCTATATCCAAATAATTTAATCTGGAAACTTTGGTGAATCCGGGATCTATTGCTTTAGTGAAGTCAGGTCTAAATAATTAGCATGGACAGGTCGAAAGCTTTGTCAACAAAAAATACTTTAACTGAAGTAATCTTATGGTCTCTTATGCAGTAATACAGCCTATATACAGCATGAGCGGCCGCGTTTTGTATATTTTATCAGGGCTATTTATACAACACATGCGCGAATGCTATATAAATAGTTTATATCAGATTCTGTATTTTATGATTATGGATTCTATGTTCTCTTCATAATTTACAATATTAGCAAAAATTATAGGAAACATATCATATTTTCATATAATTTCGTATACCAAACACCTCGGGTAATAAGACGGTGTGAAATACTAGATTGTTCCAAGTTTATGATCGAAGAACAAACTTAGATAAACGGAATTTATTTAAATACTTCAAAATGTTGTTTACATTTTATTCATTTTTTTATTAAAAGGTGCGAGAGAGATGAAGAAACTAAAGAGAAGAAAGGAAATGACGAAAAGAAAGAAAACGAAGAAAATGTAGAAAATGATGAAAGTGAAGAAAAGAAAGAAAATGAAGAAAAGAAAGAAAACGAAGAAAAGAAAGAAAACGAAGAAAAGAAGGAAAACGAAGAAAAGAAAACGAAGAAAATGTAGAAAATGGTGAAAGTGTAGACAATGATGAAAATGAAGAAAAGAAAGAAAATGAAGAAAAGAAAGAAAATAAAGTAATGAAGAAATGATAAAACTATTCACGGGTATGTGGGTATTCTATTTACTGGTAGGTTTCAGTAAAGTTTTACGGGGCAGCAGATGGTGGTCAACTTTGATGTTTCGCACTTATAGAAACATGCAAATTTAGTTACATCTCTCAATCATGTTGATTTGCCTCCAAATGCAAGATAATATTACAGCATAATAAGAGTGAGACTGAGTTACGATTTAAGAAGTAGCAGACATTTTAATATGTGCAATATACGCACGAACCGCTTCCAAAACTCTTTTATTCCTGCTATGTGTAGTAGTTTAGTATAGATTGCACGGTTTAACTTGTTTTTAAACGATCTTTGGTACAGGGTTGGTTTTCTAAAATTTTTATGCATGCTTTTTAAATAGAATCTGTAAATTCATTAACTCATGTACATAAGCAGTATATTAATAATACAAGTAGAGTAGTGCTTTTTTGGTGATACATGTACACCACGCAATTCAGTTATTGGCTGCAATGTGGTAAAATTTTTAATTAAACTATAAAAATAAAAAATGAACATAATTTTTTTCCTTTGACAACTGCTGGTTGACCACCATCTGCTCCTTGATAGTGCTTACTGAAACCCAGCAATACTAGTAAAACAATTTGCCATAACAAAAAATGGCAGCAAGATAATAATAATAATAATGATAATAATGATAATAATGATAATAATGATAATAATGATAAACTTTATTTAAACTGTGAGACCCATTCAGCTAATTAAAGCTGGTCTTACCCGGGTGAACAGTATTTACAGTTATGGAATACTTACATATATATACGTTTATATACAATATTACAATCAGTAAAAATTACAAACTACACCTATCTTTAAAAACAGTTCTTTGCAAATATAAATTGGAAGCGATAACGGTTAAAAACTGTTTGACATGTCACATCAATTTAGGGAGGATTAGCAACCATTATGGTGTCCGTATCTGGGATTATTCTATGCTGGATTTGCTACTGCTTCTTGCAGTTGAGGAAATTTTTGTGAAGTTGCAAATAGACTTTACTGGGGTTGCTTGGTCGAATTTTTATTTCCAGTCGAAACGAAAGATAAAAAATGTACCACTTTTTATACCACAATTGTATTCAACAAGTAATTCACAAGGAAAAAGGAATATTAACCAAAATGGAAGTAGTTTAGAGGACCGATGTCATGTGGAAAATGAGCCACTATTGTATATTGAGTGTGCTGCTCACTGATGTGGTTTATCAAACATTTTTAAAATTTTATCGCAGCCGTTTTAAACTTCACAAAGAACTGTTTGTATGATCGACATGCCGCTATCTTCAGACTTGGAAAAAATATCCAATGTTCCTCGGATCCCAAGTTTGCCCATTTCAAATGTTCCTCAAATCACACAGGAACTATGGGGTATTTTTTGCATAAACTAACTATACCTATGTAAAAACCGTTTAAAACAGTACTGTACTTTTTATATTTAAAACACCTTCACTGATTATTGTTTTACATCTTGCTAACCTTACATAGGCAGACTGAAACAGAGCCTACTGTATATATAATAGGCTTTGTTGTATTTATTGTATTTACCTACTGTAAAAGGTTATTTATTTTGTTCATTCAACTGACGAATGGAACCAATGGCTTCCTTAATAGTTTAATAGGGTATATAGTATAATAATTTAATAACCACCAGTAGATTTGTTCCTCGTGGCATTCTGTCAGCAAAGTATAGAAGTACTGCACTGTCACACTGATACTCATGGATGAAAATTCGGACAGAATTTGTTCAGAAATTCATATTTTGGCTAAGTTGGCGGATAACGAATACTGAATGCCCTCAGCTTAAATGTCTTAAATATTGAAGAAAAAAGTCTTCCAGTTTACATGAATATTAATACAACTTCATTATGGTTTAATAATGTACTATATACTACTGTACTATTTTGTAATAGAATCCTCAGAATCTAAAACTCTTCAAGTTCCATTTTATTGCTATTATTTAACGGAAAATTGGGGGGGGGGGGAGATTATTGTTCATTTTAAAGGGAGTTAATTAAGTTTGTTTCACATGATCTGAAACACTATTAAATCCTTTAAAATGTGGAATATTCTCAATGTTCCTCAATCTTGTTGCTCAGCTGGCAAATGTTCCTCAGGATCCCGAGATCCGACTTTTTTCCAGATCTGTCTATCTTTATTGTGGCGGATGGGTTCTTCAAAGTATGCCTGTTCGCGGGTTATGTAGTTGCTATGCACCCTCAACCTGCGAACGGGCATGCTCGGGAAACGAGATTGGTGACGTCATTGAAGTCGATTAACCTGCAAATCAAGTGCCGCCTGCCGAGTAAAGGCCTTAGGTCCAGGCTGCCCAAAAAGCAGAATTCGAAATTTTAAAAGTATAAAAGATGTCAGTATCGGATTTGGACATTTGTAACTTAGCGTTTGAAGGAAATTTGGTGAAATTGAAAGAGAGAATAGAAGAAAGGAAAGATCTCATACGCACCAAAGATCAGGTATTATAAATTTTACTGAATGTTTTCATTGGAATTGTTGGAACAAATTTTGAACAAGCTACAAAAGTTATACTTTTCTGCCCCCCCCCCCTCCCCCAGTGAATTTAATTCATATCAGAATAGCGAATGATTTTTTATTATAAAAGAGGTGTGCCAAAATCCACTTGCTAAATTTATTAATAATACTCAGCAGAGTCTTAGCCAGGATTTGCAACTTGGGTGTCCAAATTTGAAATTTTGTTTACGAAACCCAATTTTTGCCATATGGAACCATGGTACCACTTCATGCAGCAGTAATTCAATGTGATTATTCCCGAATGCTTGGAGTAATCGGTGACTGCACTCGAAAATCGCCCAAAAACTATAATAATATATTAAATTATTCAGACTATGTTACTACCACTACACTGACTACAGTAGTACATGCGATTCTGCATGCTAAACACCCTTTCTGCTTCTACAATTCCAACCATTACACACAAGCACGTTGCCAATTAGTTGAAAACTAGGCGAGTCTATTTCCTGAAAGGTCAATAAAATTTGTGTAGGTGTCACTAGCGGCGCATGCTCATACTCGGATTACAAAATTACATGTTACTAGCCGTTTCTACTTAGCGAACAAAACGCAAATACATAAATTAACATAATATTTTATTGTAAGGTACTCTACAGCTTTTACCAAGCCGTCTAAAAGGCGTCACCATGATAGCGAACCGTCCAAAAGCCGTCTTTTTTATAAGGCCGTCCAAATTTGAAAATAGCCGTCCAAAAGACGGCTGGACGGTAGGCTGGCTAAGACCCTGATACTCAGGCTAATCTCGAACTGTTGGTGCCGGTGCGCATGTTCTGCCACACTAATGTTTTGGCTTTGGAGGAAATTTATTTCCTTTGCAAAAATACTTGCAATTATAAAAATCTGCACAAAATTCCTCAATACGTAAAAGCTGCAAGTAATTTCTGACGAAAGCAGATTTCTGATCTTTATATTTGACAAAAACATTTTGCTCTTCTTCGCTCCGCACCATATTGGTTGGTGAAACCAACTCAACCAGATTGAGGATTGACTATGTACATTGCCATGCTATTGTTTTGTAAAACATATCAGTGGTCGACAATTCATGAAACATTTGAGGTGCAAGTTTAATTAAGTGTGAATTTATTCTGACCCTGTTTGCTGCTGCAGATTACAGTTAAGATGTAGACTCTGAAGGTTTTCATGGTTGTCAAAAATATATGTGGTTTTAGAGTGGTCGAGTGGCACTTCATTGGGCGGCTTCGGCAGGATATGTTGATGTTGTGAAATATTTGTTGCAACAAGGTGCACAAGTGGATGCCAGGGATGAGGTGAGGATAGATATGTACATTGCCATACATGTGGAGTTGGTTTGTGTCATCCCACTATAATTATACCACCCAATGTAATGTGCAGTAGTTCAACGAGTTAAACCCTGTTAACCTGTTGACTGGCAATGCGGGCACATTGTATTATACTTTAGTATTTACTCATACTTTAGTATTTACTCATACTTTAGTATTTACTCATACATTTCTCATACTTTAGTATTTACTCTGTATAACGCCAGACGATTTTACTTGTCAGTGGTACTGCCAGTAAATGGGTTAATATGTCAACAATGGGCCATATTTCGTTGGTTAGATGCAACTACCTGAAAAATACAAGGAGAAATTCAACGTTTTGAGCGAAACCCCTTTGTCGGGACGTTAGTAGCAATCAGATGGATAAACAAAAAATGTAAATCACATTCCAGAATGTATAGTAATACAAATATACAGAAAACTACAAATTTAAGAATGCTTTGGATTGATAGTGATGCAACTAGCTGAAAAATTGAAAAATTATACAAGGAGAACCTCAGATTTTAGCTTTGGTTGATAACACAAACTTCTGGCTTGATAATTCTTTATATCATCCCCAACCTCAATAATTGTTAAATATGTGAGATTTTCTTCCTCAGATGGAATGGACACCGTTGATCATCTCAGTGTCGGCTGGAATGGAGGATGTTGTGAGGCTGTTGATTGGCTGCGGAGCTGACGTGAATGCCACCAATAAAACTGGCCAATCACCACTGCATTACGCTGCATCCAAAAATAGACTACAGGTACATCATACAGTTCATATATATAAGAGCAACAGAATGATCAAGAAAATAATTGGAAGAAATTATTTAATGTGGATAGCTCCATCACAACTAATTAAGTATTCTCCTATAGGCCAAATGTTAAAATAGCAGCTGATCACCAATCAATGATTGGCAAGAAATTATTTATGATTGCATGAAAAAATAGGGTTGTCAGTAAAAAAAGCAGGGAAAGTCATGACTACACCGATCACCATGATCGGGAACTAATTGGTTAAAGTTCAACCCCTAGCTGGCCCTGATTTCACAATAACATAGGCGAGTAATTGTGTGATTGATTGATTACATGCATGTGTACAGTACAACTCAAGTTGTAAGCAGGTTGCATATTGCAACAGTTTTAGGCAAAAGTTGTGTAGTGTATTTGTAAGTTGGCCTAAAAATTACAATAGATATCCTGTTATCAGTAATTTCTATGATGTTCTATGTCTCCCCATACTTCCAGATGATCTTGATACGCGGAAAAGTACTGGCACTATTTGTCAAATAGAAATCCATTTTATGATTAAAACAACTGAATATCTCCTGTAATATACTTTATTTCGATTCCATATTTTTGTCAGAGCTATAGTTCTCATAACCAAACATAATTACAAAATTTCAACTAGTTTCATAAAGAATGACGAAAGATATAATTGACTGAATACATCAAAATGGATTTCTATTCGGACAACCCTTTCTGAGCGCTGATTGGCTAAAATACGAACACGAGATCACCTAGTTAATTAATATTGTAAAAATTTGCAGTTTGCTGAAGTACTCATTGAACATGGAGCTGAAGTAAATACTTTTGATAAAACAAGCAAAGCAACACCATTACATCGTGCTGCATCAAGGTATTCATTTACTAGTGGGTTTCAGTCAGTGAGCTATATATATATATCTGGAGCGAGAACCGGAGTCCAAAAACAACCTCGTACCCAGGCTCTTACCTTCGCTGATTAAGCCAAAGATGGAGGTATTGGACGTCAGTTTCAGTCCCTTTCTGTTGTTTTGTCTGCACGGTCTGCAAGGAGTGTCCCGAAATTTCGCATTTTGACTTTGATTTAAAGAAAAATACTATATGATTTTATGAACTAGCTGATAACTTGATTAGTGATATATGGTCCGTTAGAAAAAATCTGGAATTAGCTGAGGAAAATTGTATTAAAACTGTTCACAATATCTTTATAGCTATTGGATGTCAATTCCTCGGTCCATCTTGGCTTCTCTCATGGGCTGGATGACTGAAGTTCTGAAATGGGGGGGGGGGGTGAATAGGGGTATACAAATCCACTGATCTGTCCAAATTTAAAGCAAACGCCCTAACTGTCGGGGGCCCTTAGTTTTTGAACTAACCCTACTCAATGAGCGTTACGCTACTGCCTGGGTTGAGCATCGACTGATTCTTTTCATATAAGTGTCATAATCAAGTCTGCAGTCAAGAATTGGACCTACCGAAGCCCTTATATAGATCTGGACATAGTGTATCAGGATATAATGGTCTGGAAACTGAACAGAAGTCATTGTATTATGTTTTTATCTGAGTTTATGTTAATTTGTACACTGTCACGGTGATTGAGCTCATTGTATTTTCATATGATGAAATAATCGTCCAATAGGGAAAGGTGAGATGAAACGTGCAACAACGATGAATAATATTTAGTGAAGTTGAGACAAAGGATTTGTGCACAATGAGGTTACAGTTGAACATCAAACAAAGGTCTTCTATTTTATGGCTTTGTAGTTTGCCGGGATTCCAGACCATCATATCTTAACAGACTATGATCTGGAATATGGCTTAAAACTTAAGATCTACATGGCAGTACATCTCTTTGGATATAGTGCAAAGACATACTATCTGGCAATCTTGCATGTTATTAGTGTATATTTTATTATATAATAACCTTAAGAATTTAAGTGCTTTCATTGGTCGAGAGCCATGATCTATTAGAGGACAGACGCACACAGAATGACATCACGATTAAGGTAGCCAATAGCAGTCCCTTATTTGTATAGATCATGTACGCGTGATATTTGTAAAATTTCGACTTTTTCATATTTCCAGTATTGTTTAATTCGGTGTTTTTCTTTTTACTCGCCTCTTTTTTGTTCTTCCCAGATTATGACGTCATACTGTGTTTCTATAACTGAAGAGACAACGGCAAAATCTTATCTGTTTGTTAATAGACCTTTCCCCCTTTTGAGTGGAATTTTGATCTAGACAAGTCTGGACAAAACCACAGCTTGAAAAAGCATCACAAAATTTGTAATATTCCGAAGTTTTGTTGCGAAATGTTGTAAAATGCGGATAATATAGCCCTGCGAAGTTTGCCGTTTGTAATATCAAATGACTGAAAAACGGCAAACTTCGCAAGCCTATATTATCCGCATTTTACAACATTTCGCAACGAAACTTCGGAATATTACTAATTTTGTTATGCTCTTTCAAGCTGTCTTTGTCCAAGCTTGTCTAGATCAAAATTTCACTCATAAGGGGAAAATTCTGTTAGATAACGAAATCACGGATAACGAATCAATTTCGTTCTGTGATTAAGATAACAAAATCGTCGTTAGCCTAATAAGTTTATTGGAACTGCCTCCACCAAGACTGTCAATGATTAATGGAAATTGACCCCGCCATACACAGCGATAGCATGCAAAACGAGAAAATTTAAACAATTAAGCAGATCAAGATTATACCGAACATAATTTTATGTTTTCCAGAGGCCATTCAAAGATGGTGACTATTTTGTTAAAACAAAAAGCAGATCCAAATTCTGTTGAGATTGAAGGGAATACTCCGTTACATATGGCGTGTGAAGAAGATAGAACTCAAGTGGCTCAAATTTTAGTTGAAAATCAAGCTGACATAACACTTCTTAATAAGGTAACAAATGAGAAACTATATCAATTAAGTTTTGATTAGGTTCGACATGGCACAAAATACGGCAAGTCGCGTCGTATTATGCGACATAGGTTCGACATGGGTTTGGACGTCATGGCAGTGCCGCTTTTCATGAAAATGATTAATCAGGCCTTGTTTCTGTGTGTATCTTGGCACTGTACAATTAAGTCCCACATCTAAATCAGTTGCCGAACTTGTGCCTGAACTACCTGAAAAAGATATCTCAAACGTGGGAGTCCAGTGTAGGTAGTATCCTTCAATAAGCTGTCGTGGTTTGTACCCAAACTACCTGAAAAAGATATCTCAAACGTGGTGGTCCAGTGTGGGTAGTATTCTTCAATAAGCTGTCGTGGTTTGTACCTGAACTACCCGAAAAAGATATCTCAAACGTACGTGGTGATCTAGTGTAGGTAGTATTCTACAATAAGCTGTCGTGGTTTGTGTCTGAACTACCTGAAAAAGATATCTGAAACATGGTGGTCCAGTGTAGGTAGTATTCTACAATAAGTTGTCGTGGTTTGTGTCTGAACTACCTGAAAAAATCTTTCAAACGTGGTGATCCAGTGTAGGTAGTATATGCTACAATAAGTTGTCGTGGTTTGTGTTTAACACACACTTGACACATTAAAAGTTTATGGTAGCTGAAATTAATCTTTTTCAAGTAGTTCAGCCTTCAGGGACAAATTACAGCAGTTTATAAATGTATCTGTCGCAGCTGGTCTTATAACAAAGAGAAAACTGATGTTGGTAATCTTTAAACACAGCTTCACCTTTTCTCGTCTAGGAAAAGAAAACTGCGTTAGACTTGGCAAGTAAGCAACTAGCCAACTACCTGAGAAGATTAACAGAGTGATATACGTAACACAAAGACGAAAGTCAATGGAGAATGTTTGAAACCGTATGTACTAAATAATACAGATAATAAACTGAACGGGAAATAATGCCAATGGAATGAATGGAGGGAACATCAAACTGGAAGCACTCTTATCTCATTCGACTGGGAGAAAATTATAATGAACAACTGCTTATTGCAGGAATCAAATCTTGGGGACTTGGCCACATGAAGAGCTGAAAAACACATATACCCGTTTAGCTTTATGCAATTTTTTAAAATTACATACAAAAAATACGTTTAGGAAAATGAAAAACGAAGTATTTCGTAATATGCCTGGCCCGCTGAGTGTTGCTATAACGTCTAAGTACACATATGCTGATAAAATAGATGCAAGTCTTTGTTTGGATTTGAAAAATTAATGAGTATGTAAAACTTTATAATATACATGCTGATAGGCCTGTTTATTTTTGTGATGCCTAGCTTGCCCGTAGCTCGTTCATCAATTTTCTAATTAATATTACAAATTTCCTGAAGTAATTACCTCTCCTTAATGACGATTTAATGATAAAGTAATAAATGCAGTAATAAATCATAAAAATTCAAAACATGAATTCATGCATGCTTTGATGACAACGATATTAATACTTATTTTCCTACACTGAAACGAAAGCCACATTGTTTTTGAAATGCTTACATAATGTACTGCAACATATATTGCTGAAAAATATCGCTTGTGCCTCTTACATTACATTTTGACAATTATGTAATGATTTTTGACATTCAGTTTTGCATTGGAATATATAATTATTAGGTTTTAATAACAAATACAAGACCATATGTTCAGGTAATATTTAAGCAATTTGAATATGAAATCGAGATGAATTTATACACGTATGTAAATCAGTACAACAAGAACTTAAGTCTGTTTGGTTTAACAAACGCAATTTTACCCAGCTGCGATATAACGCATATGGCTTGTGCTGGGAAGCACGCTTCGTAAAGGCTAAAGCTATATAAATTTATTTTTGGAAGTCGACTTTGTAATTTGAGCATCGGCACATAAAATTATTACGACAGTTTCCGCATAACACGAACTCATCTTAGCATATCGGGAACTTGACACACTCCGGCGAAGATACACAATTCCATTTCGCCATTACACTGTTTACACATACTACCTTTGGTTCCAGCATTAAACTGAAAGACTAGACATTATTTACAAATAATTTTCACCGTTTGGACGAGAGCACACGCGCGAATTATGGAAGATAAAGTAAACGAACTCGCTGAAAAGTTCAAAGACTTGAAAGCAGTCGCTTTACAGAAAGGTTGCAAGGAGGAGGACGTCATTCGGTTATTCTTGAAAGAAGCCGGGAAGATTAAAGCGAAGAAAGAGCCATCGTTTAGAAGATTTAAACTCCTGGCAGTTGTGTTGATTATTCCGTTATTTCTAGCGACTATTGGCTACTATTTCTTGTACGATATATTCGACGAAACCTCTCCATGTTCAATCGATAACAGTATTTTTGTGCTCGAAGCAGCACGTCCTATTGCCAACTGCCAAATGTGCAAAGGTCTCAAGGAAGTGCCTAAAGTATCTGGACTCACACCAGAACAGTTTGTAGAAAAGTTTGCCTACAGTAGTCGGCCGCTTGTTGTCACAGACGCGACCCAGTCGTGGACGGCAATGCAACAGTTCTCGTATGAATATTTTCGAAAGTTGTACACGGATAGCGAGACGGCTTTGAATTCCACAGAAGAGGAATGCCAATTCTTTCCTTATCGAACAGAATTTCATTCTCTGCGTCAAGTGTTTAAAATGTCGAAAGCAAGAGCTGAATTCAAAGCTGAACCTTGGTACATTGGATGGTATGTGTGTGATATTATTATTTTTATTGTTTATATTGCGTATATTTACCAAGTATTAAACCTGCAGTGTAGCAATACTGATTTCAAGACATGTTAAGTAAAATTCTTCAGTAATGCTCTCTTATGTTTTGTGACATATGCCTGAATATTTTTAATTAACATGCGCTGAATTCAGTTATTTTTTGCTCGTATTATAATACCTTCATCTTTCAATATATATTATCATTAAGTAAGCTCATATAGGGCACCGGAAGTTGATCTATATCTCGTAATTAAAATACATAAATAGCAAATTGAAAACACGCAGAAAACCAGCTGTGTTTGCATGGAAATGGCTGCATTAAAAACAGAGTACTTGATGTCTTTCATTTCTGTTACACAGTCATCCTCAAGGGCCAAGGCTGTCTTACCTATCGTATCCAACCTGCTTACAAACTTGAGTTGTATTTTGTAAGTCAAGCACACAACTAGCTCATGTTACCGTAGGTTAGTTGTGTGCTTGATTCACACAGTACGACTCAAGTTGTTAGGAGATTGCATGCAACAGTTTTAGGCAAAAGTTTTCAGCCTTCAGAGACGTGCTCAGGTTTCTTTGTTAGCCCATTAAGACGAACAAAATTTGTACTTTGCCGATTTTTTTTTGACAAGTGCATACTTGTTCAAAAGCTAGCACACTGGCTTTTTTAAACCAGCATACTTGAAAAATTGGCAAAGTGGCCCATACAGACGAGCAAGTAAAACTTGTTATATGAAAACTTGTAGTTGTGATAGGAAACTTGCTGATCTGTAATTGTTTCAGCGGACGTGCAGTGTTTCATGCACATCGAAAAACTCAGTTTCATTGACTAGGAAAATCGTCTACTGTTAGACGAAGTTAAATACTCAAGTGGGTATCGTTCATATATGTACCTGAAAACGAACGAGCAGGAATAGGAAACGCGATTGCTCACATATTTGATATTTCACACAACATTCAAATCCTCTCTCACACGTCCCCTCTCCGAATGCTGACGTGTACAAATGACGTCAGCCAGAAAAGACATTGTGCTAAAGGTCTCAGGACCTGACTGTATTATTTTTCATACGATGGGTAATAGATGACAGGTGTTCTTCTGCAATCATTTGGTTCAACGAGTTCGTTTACCCGTCGCGTTCCCGCCCTACATGCGTTAAGGTTATTATCAAAATTTGAACCAGCTTAAAGTTGATTCGCAATTCAGCTCTCTGTACTCTGTAGGCTACGGTGTATACTCTCACTGGGGTCTGGGGTCTAGGCTAGCTCCGGTGAGCTCTATAAATTTCTGGAGCAAGAACTTCAGTCATTCGGTAATCGTTCCATGTTTTGCGCACCAATATAGTAAACGTTATGTAATGGATATTATAGTGTACTGAAAAGTTAACTGGATACCTCCATATACATATATACAGCTCTAACCCTATCCCTAACCTTAAACCTAACCCCTAACCTAACCCTAATACCTAACCCTTAACCCTAACTTATATTGGTGCGCGAAACATGGGACGATAACCAGTCATTCGGTCAATGAGAAAAGTGAAGCCAAGATGCCGGTCATTGACGTCCAATAGCTCTGAAGGTCGTAAACAGTTTTTATACCATTTTTCCAGCGGACCGTATTGCTAATCAAGTTTTCTGTTCATAAAATCATAACATTGGTCTTTAAATCGAAGTCAAAATACGGCGAAATTTCGGCACACTCCTTGCCAAGATGGCGGAAATCGAGAGAGCTATTGGACGTCAGTACCAGTCCTTTTGTATTGCTTTTATGTGCGCGGTTAAAACGAAGCTGGCTTCACTTTTTGGACTCGAGTTTTCGCTCCAGATATATATGGAGCTCACTGGCTAGCTTTGCTGCTCCAAGGAAAGGTGATTAGCATTCTCAATAGACCTTTCCGGTAATTACATCACAGCTACATTGTTTTCAACTTAGGACCATCTTAAATGGAATGGATTTCAAGTTTTAAGCTCTAACACGAAAACGAGGCTGAGGGGCCATGGCTTCTTTGGGGCCCTCCGCCTCGTTTTCGTGTTAAAGCTTATTCCCGCATAATAATGTTTTTTTCCCTCAAAATAATAATTTTTTATCATGCATGTGTTAAAGAAGGATGCTCTGCTTCTTTGCGTATACACGCGTAAAAATTAAGAAAATCGGCAACTTGTTCCAGGTTGATATCAACAGGCGTGAACAAGGTTGTGCGGCCCACTATGAACAGTATTGTCAACATGTTGTTACAGCATTGTTCAACTGTAACAACTTGGAACAACAAGGTTGACAACTTGTTCATAGTTGGCCGCACAACATTGTTCACGCCTGTCGATATCAACTTGGAACAACCTGTGCGTTTTTAGCCATGTAGCCAGTGAGAAAAAAACCTTGAACTCCATTTCATTTAAGCGTGATTTAAGATGGTCCTAAGTTGAAAACAATGTAGTTGTGACGTAATTGCCGGAAAGGTCTATTCGCTTTACCTTTTAAAACAAATCCTATTTTTTTCTAGGAGTAATTGTGACAGCGAAGTGAGAGCGGAACTTCGCAGACACTACAGTAAACCTTACTTTATACCCTCGGACTCAGAACACAGCGAGACTGATTGGATTTTCATGGGTGGCGTGGGGCCTGGAGCGAATATTCATGTAAGGATCAGTGACAATCTCGTTTCCCGAGCCTGCGATCCTCGGGAAGGAATGTGAGGCTCTGTGATAATCCGTTTCGTGGAGGAGTCTGATTGGCCGTTGAAATGGAATGCGTAGTTCAATCTTAGCCAGGATTCCTGGCTTCCGGCAACGGATTATCCCAGAGCATCGCGTTCCTTCCCGAGGATCGCAAGCTCGGGGAACGAGATTGGTAAGGATCAGCGAGTGCCATTATAATGTTATATTTTCATTTAAATTGTTCGCATTTTCAGTTAGATATCATGACTATTTTTGTAACAGCCAAAAAAAGGATGTTCTAATACATGTGATCAGTACCGTATATCTGGAGTGAGAATTCGAAAGTTACCGTTCTCCGGTTGGTTTTCTTACCCCCAGAATAAAATGTAGTTGCTACGGTGAAGCTGTGAAGGTATCGTGGGCATTATCCTTATATATATTATTTCTGCAATGTTTGCCTAGATGGATAATGTTGAACGACCGTCATGGCAAGCCCAGTTATCTGGCAGAAAAACCTGGTCAATTTATCCACCACCTGAATGTGAAAGTGTTTGTGAACCCATGCTGAATGTGACCATCGAAAAAGGAGAAATAGGTAAGCGTATACTGGGTGTCCCCCCAAAAACTGGACACTGTTTGATTTCATGTGACGTAAAAGGTATAAAAGCTATCGCAATGAAATCAAGATCATTGCATTCAGAAAGGACTAACTTAGATTTTGATATATAACACTTGAATTTAAATGCAATATTGACTGCGCTATTAATGTTTGAACGTTGAACTACCGTTTTTGAAAATGCCAAAACATGTCTGGTTGCCGTGAAATTATAAACTTGAATTTCATTTTATTTCAGTTGTGATTGACACAAACAATTGGTACCATGCGACGACAGTGGAACCAGGAGAAATAAGCATCACGATCGGTTCTGAATATGATTAAAAAGACACGAACGACGGAACGAATGTAATTTAATTTTGCGTAAGTTGCAGTAAAATCCCGCATATATCGAGGTCAGGATGAAGAGGGTCTTATATATATTTGATCAGAAAATTAAGTTGTATTTCACGACTCTAATGTCTAGTCTGCAATGTATAAAAATCAGCTACAAATACACTCACATAACTATTATTACTATTATCAGAAGCTTTTCCCAATTTTAGGCCGAGTTAGTTCTGATAAAAATGGGTGTCCGAATGGCAACATTCAGGCTGTAGGTTCTTAATCTGCTATGTTCTTTATATATGCGGGATTTTACTGTACACTTCGGTTGGTAGTTAGTGGAGAATAAACATGATTTCGTATAGGTCGACAAAATCGTTGCTATTGTTTTTGTCCACGTTTATGAAAATCTGTACACATTTGTACTGTAAAGGTCATGTCACCCGAGGAATTCTTGCTGCAACTTCTATACAGCGCAAAGTCGGACACAACGACGATGCATTGTTAAAAAGTATTAACAGAAAATCATTTCATTTTTCTGATATTTTTAATTTTTTTCATTCTCTTTCATTTATTTATGCCTCTGTAGTATGGGAAAGATTCTCAATTTTACAGTAATAAAGGAATACCAAATGGTTTTATTACGTTTTCTGAAAGTCGAGCAACATCCCAAGTGCAGGCAATGGATGACACTATCCTGCACGGGAAACTTTGATTAACTTTATTAACTTAATTTAAAGTTTCCCTGTTTCCAAACCATGTTTATTTTCTGTTAACTATGTTCAAAAGCCATTAAATATAGTGTCCTTGAGGTCAATGTTTATTTATGTACTTACTGGTAGTACTTTGCAATCATAAAAACAACCGTTTAGGAGAACAAGTTTAAAATGGAATATATACAGGGATGCAGGGGGAGGGAGGGGGTTCATCGAACCTTGGTCATTGTTTGGGGTGAGACCGTTGGCAATGCATAATCACTAGAGGGAGGGCAGGAGTGTTCTGGGGAACCGGAGAAACACTGCCCCCAGGGCCTAGCTGGTGGTAAAAAGGTGATTGGCACCCCTCTTGTCACAATTCTCCCCCCCCCCCAGTAAATCCATCCCTGAATGCATATTTTGTCTTGAATGGGAAAAGTTTCTTTGACCATTGTTTAACACGTTCGTATGCATACATGTGCGTAAATAAAGCGAAGACAAGACGAAATGTGAACAGGTTTAAAAATGATTTGTTTTGTGGCCACACCACGTTTATTTATTCAGAAAAACCTGTTTGTTTTACAAGAACTAAACAGTTAAATTAATGTTCTATGAAATTTCATATGAAAGGTCTATAAAGTTGACACCTCACACATCTGACCCAAAATATGTCAATTTCTGTAGCAAAGTACTTTTTCAGCATAATGTAGAGGTACATGTCTCACACAATCACGAAGTGAGTCCATGGACCATTTCTTCTTTAGTAATAAGATGATTGGTCTTATTCAAAAGTTGCATAAGAGAATTAATATTATGCGACCATTCATTCAAAATTTCGTTTGGCTCTTTGTGTGGTTGGAAATTTATGGTGCCACCTGGACGATCTATTTTAGCGAAGACGACTTTAGAAGCGACCAAATTAGACAGGAACTCTTCAGTATCCTGGAAGGAAAATGGAATAATTGGATTAGAAATATTTGGGAATGGATCTTTGGAATAAACATGAGGATTGAAGAGATCAGAAGAAGATGTGAGGCGGTAGACATTGCAGAGAAGGTGAAGACAGCAAGGCTGAGATGGTGTAGACAAAAAATAAGAGATAAAGGAGAGTCAGGCACAGATATTATGTAGTGAAGAGATCAGAAGATGTGAGGTTCTAGACATCGCAGAAAGGATGAAGAGAGCAAGGCTGAGATGGTAAGGAACACGTAAAAAGAAGAGATGGAGGAAAACTGGTCAGATACGTATAAATGAAATACAGATGGCTTGTCAAATAGAAGTGCGTCTCAAACTTACTGCTTCAGATAAACTTAACAGTTCTGACATCCGCTTCATAGTGATATTTGTGTAGTACTTTGCAATTATACGAATGTTCTACAAAACAAGCCAAAATAACAGTCGCAATAGTTCAAGAACGTTAGGCATATTTTGAGGTAGTTCCCCCCTGGATCTTCATGTTTGAGATATCTCATCTTACAATTTCCATTTACTCACATGTTCAACAATTCTTTTCCTAAAATCATCCCATCGTTTATTACCCTCTTCATTATTTACAAACACCTCAGTAGCAAGATTTTCGGGAGATCCATCTCGTAATTCCTTCTCATACTGCTGAGTTACTTCAGCCCAGTTCATCAGTTCTGCCGTTATGTAACATTTTAATAATGCTCTAGACAACACATACGAAAAACAAAAGTTTATCTAAACTATGGTGATTGGCAGGGCCCAATGGACCTATTCCCTAATGAACAAAATTTTGATCTAGACAAGTCTTGAAAGAGCATCACAAAATTAGTAATATTCCGAAGTTTCGTTCCAAAGTGTTGTAAAATGCGGATAATATAGCCCTGCGAAGTTTGCCGTTTTTCAGTCATTTTGTATCACGCACGGGAAATTGATACCTTTTTTCAGAAAGCGGTATCAATTTCCCGTGCGTGATATAAAATGACTGAAAAACGGCAAACTTCGCAGTGCTATATTATCCGCATTTTACAACATTTCGCAACGAAACTTCGGAATATTACTAATTTTGTGATGCTCTTTCAAGCTGTGGTGAAATGTTTGTCTATAGATCAAAATTTTGTTCATTAGGGAATAGGTCCATTAAACACAATACCTTGGCATACCTTATTACCCTTGCACGGCTTGCAGGATTTGTTTGCTTATCCTCATGTAAGTTATGTGCTGTCATCCATGTAAAGTTAATTATGACTTACTTATATATTGGGATATGTTCCAACTGTTTCTCTTCGTTAATGCGATGCGTTAAGTCCGATTGCTCGTTATCATATGGCGCCAGGATAAGATAAAGAACGACATTCTTTAAAGCCTAAGAAATTTTCAAACTTAAACTTTGGAGATCATGTTAGAAAGGGTCGTTACAAATACAAGGGGTAAAATATTGCAGACGGGACTGACCACCTGACCGACCGACCAACTGTTTGGCTGAATAATTGACTGACCAACTAACCGTCTGACCTACCAACCAACCTTCTGGCTAAATGACTAAACAACTGATGGACTTGATGACTGAATGACCAACCAATTGACCACCTGGCTGGCTGAATAACCAATTGACCGACCAACCAACGGATCGGCAACTGACTTAATGACTGACCAACCGACCAAGTGACTGCTTGTCTGACCAACCGACCAAGTGACCAGGAAACTGACCAACCAACCAAGCAACTAGTTGACTGAATGGCTGACCACCCATCTGACCAACCGACTGATGCATTAGTAAGTAATCCAAATATACATGCACACATATAATGGAAATGAGAGTAGCCTGCAAGCAGGCTCTCAAGAGTTATTTCCCACCTCTTGCCACTTGTTTGGGTCTTCTTGAACTGCAGGGGTGTTATATACAGCATGATAATACTTGCAGATATTGAGATAATCTGAATCATGTTGAGCTAGCTCTATCATCAGCTTATAGTATCGCAATTTAAGATCCTAGAAAAAATATGCAAGTGAGTTTTCGTTTAGATCTGACAGAGTTATCCCATACCATCTGAAGCCAATTTTTTATTAAACCATGTTCTTACTGGTTCATTGTTATTTTCAAAAAACTTGATGCTAATTTTTTTGCTAATGATCTGTGCTCGAATGTAATCCTTTTTCGCCAAACACAATCTTATTTGCTCTAAAATAAAGTCCACTTTCTCGTTCTTCTCCATCGAACCATAAGTTTCAACCTAACAAAATACCACATAAATTTTTTAGTGTTGTTTGGTCAGAAGCTTTGCACTGTAATGTAATAAAGCTAAATTGTTAGTCTTCCTAAGTACCTGAAGCTCTTGTAAGACCTCTGCTGCCTCTGTTTTTCATGAAATAGAAAAAAAATACATGATTTTACTTAATTATAAAAAAATATATGATTTTACTTAAAAAAAAATACATGATTTTACTTAACCATAATGTATATAAAATTGGTGGTATGTGGTACATTGAGACACAATGCAATGACAGTTACATGTATGACTAAATGGAAACTAGGAATTTTACTCTCATTGCAATGTGCTGGAATGAGGTCCTGACGAACCTGAAATATCCCCATCCTCTTCTTTCAAGGTAGCCAAGATTTTTGTCAGTCGTGCTCTCTCTAACTCAACATATATCTAAACAGTGAGTGATGCAGAAGTAAAATCAGAGAGTGTACTACTATCTACCCATGCACTAACGGTTTTTCACAACTATATTAACTGTCCCCCCAAAACACGTGTTTTCAAGGCAGTTAAAATGAAGTTGTTCAAGTTAATTTGTGACATGAAAACAATTTTTCCCCCGTCAGAAACTCAGCAACATAAAAAAAAAGTTCAAAACAAAAAACTGTGAAAAAGATTGTGAAGACACAATTGTTAACCATCTTTTACTAATCGATGCAGTCTGGTCTATTATTCTCAAACAAGGTACTATGTAAAGGTTATAATCTGGCAGGGGTGAACAGCCTCTGAAGCTGCAACCCAAGCTGTATAGGTAAATTTAATCTTCTGTGCAAAAATAAAACCAGCAAAAAAGCTGAAAAACCCCTCTACCTTTCCGGCAGTTACAGTTCGTAGTGTTTCAATAAATTTTAGTTTTGTTTCTCTATCTGGCGTCTGATCGACATATGTAAAAGCTTCTTGGATCATCTTAGTAACAGCCTGTTTCAGCTGGTTTCTTCTCTTCGTCAAAATAAGGATGTGCTCATTCAACAGTTCCCACTCTTTTTGTTCAAAACACATCTTGATGACTGTCACCAGCAGTCGACTGGTTGAGGCGAGGTCTGCTCCCTTTGTTGACAAGAAAAGTCAAATGAGTTACATAATACAATGATGCAATACACAAAAGAGTAAAATAATAAAGTAGGGTGCATTAGGGCGTAATGCATTCTCGTACCCAGAGCCCTTCTTACGCGCGTTCGACTGAGCACGACGAGGGGCTCTGGCCAAATCCATAACCGGATAAAAACATAAAAACATGGTATCCGGTTAAACACTGCGCATGCTCAACGTCAAACGCGGATAAACACTTCGGCTTTCTTGTTTGTTTCGTTTTGAAAGTTTTTCTCCAGGAAAACCCCACAAAAGCGGTAGGTTTCGCTAATTTTATTTATTTAAATCAATTAGTAGGTAAGACGTGATGTTCCCAATGCATGTTGATAAAAATTTAGTATATATTTCCCTCTTAAACGTTGCCAAAGCAGTAATGGCTACGGATACGAAGACGAGAGATTGTCTCACTATTTTATATTCGATTTTAAGTCGCTGTTGTACAGATTTTTAGACTTTTTTGTGTTTTATTAAAAGTCAACAGTCATACATAAGACATACTATACTGCAAATCATTTGAAAATTGTAAAAAATCGGTTTCTAGGAAGAAAATAGTCATCACAATTAACTTCATATTCTGGCTGGCTTTAATATTTTCTCTTCAGATCGCACTTCAGCTTTGAACATGTAACACAGATTTGTTTGATTAACATCACTGATTTGGAAATACGACGAGCATCTCCCATAAATATGCTGACTTTTTGCTACGAGAACATCACGTCTCAACCTATTAATTTCAATCAACTAATTGATTTAAATAAACAAAATTAGCGACATCTACCGCTTTTGTGGGCGATTATCAACAACAATCTTCCTAACTGCTTCGTACTGCTGTTCTTTCAACTTTAATAATGTCTTTTCTCCCAATTTTATCCAAAACGAAACCAAAGCTTCATGGAGCGCTTGATTTTTATTCATATTTTATACAATAAACCATATATTTAGTTGTGGCCAATCAGAAGCCAGTTTGATATGGATTTGGCCAGAGCCCCTCGTCGTGGTCGAACGCGCGTAAGAAGGGCTCTGGGTACGAGAATGGGCGTAATGCAACTTAATTTTAAGCAACCTCGTACCCAGGATCTTTCCCGAATGACAGAAGGAGAGACCCTGGGAACAAGCTTGAATTTTAAGCTGCGATGGGCACTACTTTCTTATTTTACTGTCTAACATATGATGATTTTACAAATGAAAAAGAAAAATTAAGAATGAAACAGAGAATGGTGAAACAAGGATATATTGAGAAAGAGAGATTATAGAATACTGGGACTTACAAGTCTTGTTTGTTTTTCAAGAGACAAAAGATTCTCCAAAGCTTGATGCAATTTACCTTCCTATAAAACATTTTTTTAAAATTGGCATAAGCACATAAGCAAGCTGACATTTTAACATTCGCCTTTAAAGGAACATTTACACACAAAGATTAATCCGACCAACAATTTCAGGTTTTGCCGAATGTTAATGACTAATGTTGTCAGTTGATGATGTCGTCAGATGATGTTGACAGCATTTTTTTTTCAAATATCATTTAATTAAAGCTGAATCGGCCCGATTAATCGTTGTGTGTAAACATACCTTCACATTCATATAATTATAAGCAATATTACAAAGCACAAGTTTTTACGATTTGTTTTCAAGCTATCCCTTGTAGTGTAGTGGGCAAAGCAGCGGCATGCCAACCCAGAACTACCAAGTTCTATTCCTGGTCAAGCCAAATTCTTTTCACATTTTTCTTGTAATATATTTGGTGATAAAAGGGTTTTTTATGTCTCTGTGATAATGGACTGTTATTTTTGTGATGAGGTTTTTATAGTTTTGTGTCATGGTAGGCATTATTAAATTTTAGTTTTAACTACCAGAAACAAAGTAACCAAGTCAGTGATATGTCAGATCAAAAACCACAGAACAAGAAGATCCATTGAACATATCAGATATACTCTTGCGAATAAAACCAAACTCTTAAGTCAAGAATCTTATCAGGTATAATATATAGTCACATGGCACATAGTTTACAAAAGTAATATTTAATTAAAAACTACAAATTTCAACACGGTACAAATTGAGAAATATGTACAGTACGAAGCCCAAACTTAAACTACGCTTTAGACCAGTTCTAACCTTAACTAATGCTTCACAGTTTGGAATCAGTTCATCGACAGTGGACGAGAAATCCACGTCCATTTTAACTACATTTCCTCTCGTGTCTGTTGCGGTCGCCATCTTGAAAAATCTTGAAACAATTATGGCGTCAGGTTAATTATGGCGTCAGGTGAAGGCGTTCTGATATGTGCTCTTGTAATTATCACGATTTTTACGGTTAATAAAGCCCAATTTATAAGCAGTGATTGCATTGGAATAATGATGAATGATTCTGCTGAGGTTGTATCTACAAACGAAACGCATACATACTCATCGCTGTGGAATATTCGAGCTTACTTTAGCATTTCATGTCGTAAGCAAAGAGTAAAGGCAATGATTTTCCTTCTACTATTGTGTGGTGATATTGAAACCTGTCCAGGTCCTTCGAATTGCTGTAATTGTCAGAAGATTATTAGAAGTAACCAAAGCAATATAAGTTGCAATGATTACAAAGGAAATGCTATGAATCCAATATGGCCTCCTCGGGAAATAACAATCAACTTGGAGAAGGTATGTCTGATGACCCACCAGCCTTAGAGGAACTACTTAACCTTGTTAGTTCAAAGGGAATAAAGTTATTACACCAGAATATCTGTGGTTTGGCTACAAAATATCCACACATCGAATTTATTCTCAAAAACTATAAGGATATTTATATGTTTACTTTGAGTGAAACGCATTTGCATGAAGAAAATATTCAATTATTGCCGAGTATTCCCGGGTATTCAATGGTCTATAGAAATCGGACAAATGGAAACTTTGGTGGTGTTGCTGCTTTTATAGCAGACCGAGTTCAATGGCTGAGAAGACATGATTTAGAAAGTCCCCATTTGGAATGTCTGTGGATTGAAGTTTTACTCAAGAATACCAAAGGTTTCTTGATTGGGACTCTCTATAGGCCTCCAAATGGTTCAAAGTTTTTATCAAAAGATTTCCCTGCCTATTTTGATGATATGCTAACGTCAGTAGCAGCCGAGAATAAAGAAGTGATTCTAATGGGTGATATAAACTGCAATTTCTTAAAGAAAAGCAATGATGCAGACATTAAATCTATAATAGATGTTAATGGTTTAGAACAAATGGTTAAAGATCCCACGAGAATTACTCCTGAGTCTTCGACACTAATTGATGTCATCTGTACAAACAAGCCCCAGAATATTAGTAAGGTTGAAGTAATATCTGCAAGCTTGAGTGACCATGAAATGATCGGCTGTGTGCGTAAACTAAACAACCATTCATTTAAAGCCCGTACTATCGAAGCCCGTGACTATAGGAATTATAATCATGAAGATCTATGCAATAATCTTCGACAATC